CAGCGGCAAGAAATATCCTGGTGGAGACCGTTAAGCGCCACTAGTTACCCAGGCGGAAGGAAGGCATAACGCGTTTCAGATTTTCCAACTCTTGCCATCCATACTCCACTCCCAGAAAGCAAGCAGAGAGCGCGTGTGACTGAAAGACTTTGGGCACATGGGAATGGTGATCTGATGAATGTGGATGAATTGAGAGTGTTTATGGGTTACAGGGCGCTGTGCCGCAACAACACGTTCATAATGCGCAGTGATTGGTACATTGATCGTGTATGCTGGCGCATCAAAGGTATTGTGATGCATCGTGAAGTGAGCATCTGGGCAGGTGAGGTGGAAGGCAGACATTGGAAAGAGCCCCCAGCCCTGAGAACCCTGGGACGCTTGCGGACTAGCGGGTCTTGGCAACGTTAGCTGGACCGCAACCGCGAAAGCATCCGTCACCAGCCAGGGACGCGCAAAAGCAGTCGCAATTCGAACGGATTTCCCTATCGGTTGCAGTGCAGGGGTAATCGCGAATCGACCAGCCTTCTGACGGACCCCGTGACCCATTCACCGCATTCGGAGGCCCCATCGACATCGCGACGCGTTTAGTGTTCGCGAGCTCTGCTGAGCTTCCTCACATCTCCTACACGACCATCGACCGTGTCAACAGCCATGTTTACGAGTACGGGAAAGACGGCGCCGCCCCAGGCCTTCATGTCGAGTTATGCGCCGCGACTGCGAAGCCACGGAAACTCGCTCATCTCGCCCATTGTCCCGCCTTCGAATACGCTCCCTGCGCCGCGCGTGACAAAACGCGGAACCGCCGTTCTCAGCTATGCGGAGGATGCATACGATGATGACGATTTCGAGGATAGCGATCGGCCGCGACGTGCGACAGGCCTGCGAAGTGTACAGAAGATCGACCCGAACAGCGCAGACCACACGGCGCAAATAGCAGCGCTGGGCGAGGAGCTCACTGCGCCAGTTGACATACAAGGAATCTGGCGAGACTGGATGGGCAGGCCGAAGCGCACACTGTATGTGGCATGGTGGCAGGATTAAGCCATGGGACGCATCTTGCAATAGAAGGCTAACACACTGCAGCACGGAGAAGCAAGTCCAGACGCAGTCAGTCTTGCCTGTCACGTTGATACCGATTCGAATAGACATGGACATTCAGGCTTTCCGGCCTGAGGCGCCGCTGCCAACACCGTCCAACGCGCGAGAGTTCGGCATCAACGAGAATCTGCCCGCGTACAAACAACCCGACGTCACTCCCGCATACAGACTAAAGGACTCGTTCCTTTGGAACCTACACGAGGCTTTGACGACACCCGATCAATTCGCAAAGCAGTTCGTCGATGAACTAGATCTGCCGAATGACCGAAAGCCCCTCATAATCTCACAAATCGCAAATCAGATTCGACAGCAGCTGGAGGAATACGCTGGTGTTGCGCTCCACCCTCTATTCCATTCCGCGAACTCACCCGCTGTTCAAGGAACTAACGGCAAGCCCGCACTGCCGGCATCGTCCCGTGACGGCACCTCCACACCACAAGTACCAGCCACGAACGGCGCGTCGACCCCTATGACCAACGGCGTATCGCATACCAACGGCGCACAGACGCCAGCGGGCATTCCAAATGGCATCAGCGCAACTGCGACCGCAATGCCGTCTGAGGAACTTCACAACCCAGACGATACCTACCGCTGCATCGTCACGCTCAACATCAACCTCATGAACCGATTGTACACCGACAAGTTCGAGTGGTCACTATTACACCCACCAGGTTTCGCGGAGATGTTTGCTAAGACGACGTGCGCGGATCTGGGGCTATCGGGAGAATGGGTGAACGCCATGACACATAGCATCTACGAAGCAGTCCTGCGGCTTAAGAAGGAAGCCTGCGAGAATGGCGGATTAGTGGGCGATGGCGAGATCGACAACGATGCAGTGGAGCCTACAATCGGTGCAGGTTGGAGATACGACCAAGAGCATCTCTGCGACGAATGGGAACCGAAGGTGGAGATCCTATCACCTGAAGAAATCGAGAAGCGCGAGGGGGACCGTGAAAGGCAGATCCGACGACTTCGCAGAGAGACAGCGCGCTTCTCCTCGACCGCAAACATGACGGGCCAACCCGCCAACGAATTCTTCAACAACATCGAAGGACAAGAGAACATGGGCCGCGGCGAGCGCAGCAAAAAGAAGAGACGATTCAGGAGTCTGAGCCCAGTTGGAAGAGGCACGCCAAGCGCCGAAGGAGGATCCGGCTATGGCGGGCAGGGTGGAGGGCTCCAAGAAGGGTATGTGACAATACTGGCATTGTGCATTGTGATATTGGAACTAACAACAACCACAGGGAGCGACAAACATGGAGATGCGCACACTGCTGGGTCTGGGGAACTGCCGTCTGGGCTGTCCGCGACGGTCCAAAAGGCCCACGCACTCTCTGCAACAACTGCGGCTACCTCTATGAGCGAGACAAGAAGTTGCCGCCTTGGTCGGAAAATCTCTTCTATCACGAACGGCCACAACACGAAGTCCAACAGTACCGACCACAGCGGTGATGGACTTGCAGTTGTCTGTGAAGGGGTTTACTTCATCGGTGTTAGGGGTTCAGCCTGGATCGCAGTCATCCATCCGAACGGCATTTCTTTTCCGTGTCTGGACACTGCCGGTGGGTGTTTGATGTTCTATCGCATTTCATGGAGCGTGGCGTCTTGGGCTCGACATCGTGTTCATCACGACAGCAGGCTTGTAAAACAACGTAACTTTCTTGTCGCCTTACGGATTGCAGCATAGTGTTGCCTAATTGGCTGGGTTCAACTTCCGTCGTCTAGGCCTGTCTGGAGGACTTTGCCATTTTGAAGGACCAGTGCCATGGACTGGGTTTGCACGCACCGGCACATGTCTGCCTTGCAGACACGGGTACGGGTACGGCAGCGGACTGACTCCAACAAACTGGCACTGGCTCAGCCATCGAAGATGCGGCACAGCCCGGCTTTTCCCATTCCCCAGTCCCTCCATATCCCCTGTCTGTACACACACAAGGAATCGTACGATCGACAGAGGACAGATAGTGTATACTTACTAGCTGGCAGTGCATATGCATTCCTATTGTTCCTTCCTTCCTTTTCTTGGCGCCTTATTGTGTATTGCCTTGGCCACGCGTCCTTTTCGTATCGCATTCAGCCTATCATGACTCTTCTTGTCGATGTGGAGACTGGTATTGAGGGTGAGCGCAGAAGAGCGCCGGATTTGGGCACGTTGCGTGGCGCTGATGGCGGTGGGAGGGCGCTTGGGTGGCGTGTCAAAGCATCGTGGCTTCGTATTGAGAGGAATGCAGCGAGGTGGCTTTTTCTTCGGAGGAGTTCGCAAGCCATAGTGTTAAGCTTTTGTACGAATACGAGTTTGGACATCAGGTTTGCAAGACTCTGTTTTTAGTTCAAGATGCAAAAGTTGTCAATTGTATTGGGAAAGAAGTTTGGCTTCACGTTCGTATCACGAAACCGCGAAGGAACTTGTTCATGTGTGGCACCACTCTTCGACTCTTCCTATTGTCCCATCCCATCTTCCTATTGTGCACCCAAAGCGTCACCCACTGTTCACGTACTTAGTCATCACCCATCTGCATCCCCGATCATCATGACTCCCAGACATCCAACGCATGAGCCAACACACATGTCTCATTACACGTACATCAACGCTTCTCACACCCTAGCCTCACACCTCACGTGCTGAATGTACCCAGGTATTCCATAGATTGCGTGTTCAATAGAAACACAATAGCAAGCGAAATGGTGCAGGACCGATGCACCACCCAACCAACGCGCAGATGGCTACCTGGGTACTTGATCGAGGAAGAAACGACCAGCATAGATTTTACCCGGTTTCGTACGACAGTTGCACAAATGATGCAGGTGGGAACGTGACGATGGTAAGGTTAGTTGCAGAGAAGGAACGTGACAGATGGATTCTTGTGTTACACAGGTAGGTACCTACAGACCAATTAAGTCACAATCCTAGAAGTAGTGACATAGTAGTCGGTAGATCACGATCGCTATTTCTATTGTCATTCCAGCTACGGCAAGGCTGTACACGCGCGCTTAGCCGTATTTGACTATTCATCCATCCCCATCCACACACCTTGTACGTTCCCTCGCATACATTCGCTAACCCCAGACCTAAATCAAATCCTCCACCTGCATCCTCCAAATCCGCGGCCTATCATACCGTCATAGAGATCAACCAGTCGTTCCAAGGTTCCTTCCCATGTTCGAAAACAGTCTAGCCCACCGTTATTGAAGCACAATAGCAACAATGGATCCATCCCGGAAAGGCTCGGTACGCACACTCGATTGCCGGTAACGGGTCTAGACTAGAAGTGCTGCTAGCTATTATGCGGTAGATATGTGGCGCATGCTAGGTGTGTTTGTGTTGTCGCGCGTTTCTTCCTATTGTGCTAGGTATTGTGTTGGGTGTTTCAGGTGTGGGGGTGCAGGCTGCGCAAGTGTGAATAAGGCGGAAGGCGGGCGGACGCGGGAGGATTGGGGCGTCCACTGCAGCGGGTGGGTGGGTATATATAGGTTAAGTGGTGGCATGCTGAGGGGAATGAGGTTTGTTGAGTACGGTATTTGAGGTTTAAGGTAAGTTGTTCTTGAGGTACTTGGTGACGGATGGCTTTTGCTGACTTCGGACACAGCCATCGTGCAAACAAATCGAGGATACCAATACCAACTGGCAAACGGCATCAACGGCATTACTGCATCGTCATATCACGATCATATACCGGTTTATTGCATCTTCCTATCGATCTTCGTGGTCGCGCAACATCTACCGGCAAAGCGTTTAACCATCGACATTTGCCAGTACGGTTACCGAACTCGCATGACCGCCGCCTAACCCATCACACCAACATCACGCCACAACCCCACGATCACGATACCCACAGGCAGTGTTCTCCAAGACACGCAAAGCGATTCCTTGGCCAAATATAAAACATCCACTGATATATACCATGGACCCATTCCGCAACACCAACGCAGTATCCACCGCAAAAGCCACCACACTCCACACCACCCCATCATCCACACCGTTCAACACACTCCCAGCACACTCCTCATCATACCAATCATACCAAGAAGACAGTTCAGCACCTCCCGCCTACCACACCGTCGTAGACCCCACCCTCCCCATCCCCAACATGACAAACCCGTACGACCCCCAAGAAGAAGACTGCGACACGCAAGAAACGCCAGACGATACACCCGAAATCACAATCAACGCCGCGACTCAGATCCGGGGCCACGGAAACATCATCTCCATTGCTCAGATGGATAGCGTGAGGATAGCGAATCTCATTGCTACTGTACTCAGTGGTGAGGCTATTGAGATGAGTAAGACGGGGGAGGAGGATGATGCTGCTGGCAGGCCGATTACGCCAGAGAGTCCGACGACGCAGGCGACGGCACGGGGGCAGTGTACGTCTACGACGCAGGTCAGAGGCGTGAAGCGCTATTCCAACATCAATATTACGGTCAACTGCGGCGCGACTATCATTGGGGATAGGAATATCGTGGGACCGGGTTTGGGCGATATTGCGAGGCAGATGCAGATGGCGCAGAGGAATCAGGCGGTGTTGCTGGCTCAGCAACGGATGCAGCAACAGAATGCTGCTGCAGCGGCGGCGGTGGGAGGACAAGCACAGAGGATGTCGTCGCCACCGTTACAACAGAGAAATCTCTCGCCGAATGGAGTTTTGTTCCCGATGAAGCCTGCGACGCCTCCGATGAGTCGCAGTTCTAGTCTGAATAGCGAGGTGGGAGGTGGGGGGAGGAAGAGGAAGTGTGAGGATGGTGGGGAGGGGGCTGCTGCGAAGAGGCGTGGTTGAGGCACGGATATCTAGGTGCTCTATGGATGCAGGATGGCCATCATGGGATTTCTCTCCTTCTTCATCTTCGGAGCCGGGGATACGGTTCGGTGGAGCCAAGTCTTCTGAGATCTGGTTGGCATTCTTGGAGCCTCATGAATAACGAGTTATGAGTAGGAAGGCCTTCATGGCTTTGTAGGATAATGTTGGATATACACGATGGAGCTATAATAATGTCAACATAGACTTTGAGTGACTTCTTTTGTCTCTATCATCGTTCCTCCTTATTCCCGACTGTGGTCGAGTACTGCAAGGCGATACCAAGCCTTCCACATGCCACTCATGGATGCAGCCACAAGTGCATCGCTCCTGCTGCGCTAAGCAGGCGAGTGCAAGTACTAGATAAAGTAAGGGCGTGGCACAGAGTGTAGATGCAGCTGTGTGCGAGGGTGCAATATCAGCGAGATGCCAATGACGCAGCGGCAGATGATGAATAGCGTGTGAGTGGCTTGTGAATGGCTTGGTGTTCAGCCGCCTAAAACGTTAGAGGCCGCCGTCGGGGGTGTCGGGACTCGGAGTTAGCCCTCCGCGCGCGAGGTGCTTGATGCTTCGTGTCCTTTACGAGTGGTTGATGGGCGCGCAGGAAGCTATTGAGATGCGATGGCAAGGCAGGCATTTGGGATGCGGCATAGGAGAAGGAGAAGAAGATTAATAGAAGTCACTCGGCGTATATCAGAAATATCATCATCTTGCTGTGACGCACTCACCCGCTGCAGCGCCTCCGTCGACCCCTGCTTAGTGGCATCCCGAACGGGGGAGCACTCCTAAGCTCACTACCACATGGAGCGCCTTCACTCTGCCACCTCCAGCAATTCCCCGTCTCCCGCCCTACATTGTTAGTCTCGACGCCGAGTCGATGTGAATGTGTAGCACGTGAATCAACACAACCCCCAAACTGCGCCGCCCGTGTCAAGTGGGCGATTCGGCGGTTGCACTCGACGGTTGAGTAGCTCCCGAAGCGGATCAAGACCTACCTGGCCTCTTCTCGCAACGCCATCGAAACCGTTGAGCAGAGCAGCCGGTGCGACGCGTCAATTTCACACGTTACGACGCCCGGGCTAAGACAAAATCAATTACCTGTAAGCCCCTTTTCCCTCTCCCTATACTCCGTCATCCTACTGCCCTGGCCCTCTGCTCCCTCACCTGCCTGCCACTTCCACCCAACCCATTGCCCCATCGTACCGTGTTGACATTGGACGTCTTGCAGTAGTCACCACCGCACCCTCGAAGCGTTGCATACCACACGCCTTGCATCATGGAGCCGTGGATGAGCTGGGTCGTGTTCCTGACCATTGGAGGCGCCGCCTACTGGTACTACATGCACCAGGGCAACACGGCGGATACCCGAGGACGCTCCACCACGGGCAAGTCGACGACCAGCTCGCTCAAGGAGGCAGTCAGCTGGGACACTCCAGAGAAGAAGCCCAAGGCACAGAAGGCTGCAAAGCCCAAGGCCCCTCGCAAGTCGGTCAAGACGGCCGTCCAGGATGCCGGCAACAAGGCCGCCGCGACCATCTCGCAAGCCGCCCCCAAGCAGGCTGCCGACGACAGCGCCGTCGAGCCCCCCGCCGCCTACACCAACAAGGCCCCGAGCGGCAAGGACGTTTCTGACATGCTCGGTGAGCGCGCTGCCTCGCCCGCTGTCATGAGCATCAAGCCCTCCGAGAAGCCAGCCAAGTCGGTCAAGGCTCAGACACAAAAGGCCGAGGTTGCGACCGAGTCCAAGAAGCAGCGCCAGAACAGGAAGAAGGTCGAGGAGGCCAAGGCCGCGCGCGAGGAAGAGGAGAAGGCGCGCAAGGCTCTCGAGGAGAAGCAGCGTCGTGTCGCTCGTGAGGCGCGCGGTGAGCCGGCCAAGAATGGTCTCGGACAGAGCAAGCCCCCCGCCTCCAACCCCTGGACCGAGGTGCCCTCTCGTGGCGCTGTCCAGCCTCCCAAGGCCGCTTCGTCTGGTCAGCTTCTCGACACCTTCGAAGCTCCTGCCCAAACCGCTACCAAGACTGCCGCCCCTACCAACGGCGCTGCTAAGACCGCTGCCCCTGTCAGCACCCTGCCCTCGGAGGAAGAGCAGATGAGGCTCGCCATGGAGGACTCTGCCTGGACCACCGTCCCCAAGGGCGGAAAACCTAAGCGCAAGACTGTGAACGAGGAGCTTGCTGAAGAGCTCAGCGAAGTCACCACCAACACGAAGCCCCAACAGTCTGCCAAGCCAGTTCGGCCAACTGAAGTCATCAAGGAGAACAAGAACCCCAGCTCTCGCTACCAGATCCTTGCCGAAGAGTTCAACCCCAAGACTGGCGACGATGCCGATGACTGGGCTGTCATGTGAAGTGGGCAAACATGACTCAGCCAGCAGCTGGTCTCAGGACCTCGGGTACATTCACGTACCCTGGACGACGATACACCTTTCGATTTCTATCCTATTGAAGACTGTTGGCGCACGTGAGATCTTCAGGCGTTGATCTGACCAGCTCCAACTTTCATTACGATAGCATCACATTTGGCATGACGGACGAGCATAGCTCATACGACGGTGGAATTGTCCTTGTAAGCATGGGTATGGCTGGATCATCGGATGGGTTCCTTCCACTGCTTTGCTATCCAGGCCATGGAAGCATCGGCGTATGGGGTTGCATCTGATCTTATTGCAAAGGCTTCTTGCATTCGCGTCCTGTACTTCAATACCACATTTAAACATCAATCAGTACCCGACGCTTGAATAATGACTGTTGAGGCGCGCAGGTAGAAAAAGTAGTCGTTGAATTGCAGCTCCTCATACAAAACCTCCCACACATGAGTCTGCAGTACAGCCGTGCGTTGGTGAAAGCTATAAATACAACCGTGCTCCACCGTGTTGAAAGTGCCCGTGCCAAGTCGTGAATCAGCTAGTCAAGATTGGTCCGGAGGTATTTCGTACCGACTGCTACTCCTGACGCCATAGTCAGAGTCGAGTAGCAGAAATCTGGCCTCTTAGTAGTACTCTAGTAGGTTGCGCGAACCGAGGAACCAGCGCCGCAGCAACCCTGGGAACAGCCCACACGACGCAATTCAATATATTCACCATCACGCGCAACTGCCAGCTAGCAATCCCACCCTGCAATTTACTAGCCTGCAACAGAAGAAAGTAGTGAGACTCAACACATCAAAGTAAGGCGCAAAGGGTTAGGCCGCTGACATAATCTGACGTTCCGAAGGTCAATCGCGTGAAGGACACCTGTTCGGAGCAGCGCAACCCAATCACCTCTACACCTGCCGCCGCCCACCCTCTCTTCACCTCTACTACACCACCAGCCATGGCGCAGATACGCGGCACCGCTGGCTACCATTTGGGCAACCAGAGCCCCTTTGGCAACTCGGGGCGCAACGACAACAGCACGAACGACCCCAGTCCGCTCGACCAACTGCGCGCCCAGACGAGCAAGCTCGAGGACCTGCTGGACACTGTCTTCGACCCCATCAAGCCGTGAGTCTCAGAACGGTGCCACGACGCTGCCCGCCTGGAAACCGGCTAATTCCCCCGTAGATACCTCCCTGGCATCGGCCGCTTCCTCATCGTCGTTACGTTCCTCGAAGATGCCCTGCGTATTATCACACAATGGACCGACCAGCTCACGTACCTGCACGACTACCGCCACAGTACGTCTCCACTACCCCTCTCGCAGCAGCGCGTGAACATTGGCTAACACGGTCTCTCTCTGTCTGCAGTCTGGAGCGGCGTCACGCACATGTTCCTCATCGTCAACATCGTCCTCATGACCGTCTGCTCCTTCGGCGTCATTTTCCGAAAGTACTCCGAATACAGCGTAGCGGGACTCATGACCGTCGTGGTGCTCCAGGGCATCGGCTACGGCCTCGTCTTCGACCTCAACTTCTTCCTGCGCAACCTGTCCGTCATGGGCGGTCTACTCATGGTGCTCTCCGACTCGTGGGTGCGCAAGAAGTTTGCGCCCGCCGGCCTACCCCAGCTCGACGAAAAGGACAAGAAGATGTACTTCCAGCTCGCCGGACGCGTCCTGCTCATCTTCCTCTTTGTGGGATTCGTGTTCCGCGGCGACTGGGGCTTCTGGAGAATCATTGCTAGTCTTTTGGGACTCGTGGCGTGTGTCATGGTGGTTGTGGGCTTCAAGGCAAAGTTCTCTGCTGTTATGCTCGTGCTTATTCTCAGCGTCTTCAACCTTTACGTTAACAACTGGTGGAAATTGCACCCGCACCACCCCCACAAGGACTTTGCCAAGTACGACTTCTTCCAAATCCTGTCCATTGTGTAAGTACCCTTGTCTTAGTCTCGAACCGCGCATCGCTAATAATCGTTTAGTGGCGGTCTCCTCTTGCTGGTCAACATGGGCCCCGGACAATTTTCCGTCGACGAGAAGAAGAAGGTCTACTAGACTTGGACATGTTCACGCATCACGACACGTGTTTCGACTTTTTTGAACGAAACGGTCGCCTTATATTCGATATATAAACGCATATATGATATTCAATTGGGAAAAAACGAACGTGGTGGGAAAAGGGAGCAATGATGGCGGCTTGGGACATCCACTTCAAAGACCGGACCGTACAAGACAACAATTGGGCGTTGGGAAAGAACGGATGTTGGGCCCTACAAAAGCGGCTGGTTTTCAGTCTATCATCCCCGGCCCGGGAGGTGTCTCTGTGCCAGGCATCTGGGAGTGGCAAACGTTGTGTAGAATTATGGAACGAATCCGGCGTTTGCTTTTCTTACTTGCGAGTGATATGATGGCGATTTGGGCTTATGAATCGCACGTTCTAAAGGGGAAGATGCGTTTTTTTCTTCTTCTGTTACGTATATGGCAAATGCACATTCCCCCAATTCCACTTCCAGCTTCGCCTTTTCTTATGCGCTTTTCGATGTACACTTAACATGACACGGATCGCGGGCCCACAAGCCAAAGTGGAGTATCGGTGAACTCCGCATCTGCGGCATGCCACACACCTGCCATGCGCGGTTTGGTGTGTAGGCTGGTAGGGGTATCTAGACGCGAGGCGCGCCACTAGTTATCTAATCGTACATGTATCCATACGTACCTCGTGGAAGCAAACCAACCAACAGCCATTCCATCTACACCACCAATTCTACCTCACCATCTCATCCGCACACATTGTAATTATGGCGCCGAACAAAATTATTATCGATACAGACCCTGTAAGTTACTTTCCATGTACGAGAGTGCGGGGTAAATGTCGGCGGGGGCCGCAGGCGGGAATACATGGTGGAAGGCGGGTGATTGAGAGTGATTTGTGGCTAATAGAAAATATGGTAGGGCGTCGATGATATTCTCGCTATGCTTCTGGCCTTCTCGGCTAAGAGCGAGGAATTGGATATCTTGATGTTGAGTTTGACGTTTGGGAATGTTGAGGTTAAGAAGTATGTTTTACACATCCTATTTCTGCTACAACCTTCTTTCCACGTTTCGTTTCTATGTGGAAGAAGAGTTATTCGAATTGGGTTCGAGATACACGCTGGATGTGCGTTGGAGAGAGGAGAGAAGGATTGACTGACAAAACAACAGTTGTCTACGCAATGTAGTCACGCTGTTTCATTACATTGAGAAAGAGAGGGCGTGGAGGAAGGAGAATGGCAGGCCGGAGGGGTTTGAGACGTTGAGTGCGAGGAAACCTATTGGTGAGTCTTTGATCGCAGACGATGGTGGAAAAAGCGAGTTGGTGCTAATCTGTGATAGTTGCTGTTGGTGCCGAGGAGCCATTGGCGGAACATATGATGGTCGCGGATTTCTTCCGTAAGTCGGTGGCTCTGAAGATGAATTGGACAGGAAGAGCGAATTGCTGACGTGTTGTAGATGGGATCGATGGGCTGGGAGGTATACATCATAGTGTAAGCTCTTTGTCTTCCAACACGATATTAAAACTTGAGAACTGACCTGATTCAGCATCCACATCTCTCACCAGAGGAGACATGGAAGTCGCTCTTCACACCTCAGCCGAAGAACATGTCGGCTGAAGAAACCAAGGCGCTGCAAAAGGTCAAGGAGAAACACTCGCTCTTCACGCCATCGCTGAAGCCTGCACACGAAGTCATGCTGGACTTGTTGAGGGAAAATGAGCCTGATACGGTCACCATTGTAGCAGTCGGACCTCTGACCAATCTTGCTATTGCTGCTGCGCAAGATCCCGAGACGTTCTTGAAAGTCAAGGAGGTAGTCGTCATGGGCGGTGCTATCGATGCGCCTGGAAACGTAAGTTCTTATCGTTCCCAACTTACGATCTCGCCCTTTGTCGCATCCATTCCCGCTCTCCAGAGCTCTGGAGATGCCATCCACAGCTCTGGAAAAGCCACCCACAGCGCCGTCCACCCCCCCCTCCATCCCCATCCCCCCTTCAACCCAATCAAACAACCCCCCACCTCTCTCCACCACTCACTAAATTACCTCACCAGATGACCCCCGGCGCCGAATTCAACACCTACGCCGACTCCGTAGCCAGCGCGCGCGTCTTCGCCCTCACATCCGCAAACCCGCACCTCACCATGCCCCCCTCGCTCTCAAACCCCCAGAAGAAGCACCAACTACCCCCCTACCCAAGAACGCTCAGCAAGCGCCTAACCATCAAGCTCTTCCCACTCGACACAACAGAACTACACGTCCTGCCCAAAACCATGTACGAAGACTACATCGCCCTAAAACCCATCCACGGCTCCCCCCTCTCCGAATGGACAAGCCTATTCCTCACATCCACATTCGCGAAAAACTTATCCCTGAACCCACAACAAGACCCCACAAAATCCGGGCTTCAACTACACGACCCCTTGACCATCTGGTACGCTTTATGCCCCTCCAACCCTTTATGGAAGTTCAAAGAGGAGGATGTGAGGGTTGAGACGAGTGGGCAGTGGACTAGGGGGTGTACGATTGTGGACAGAAGGGGTAGACCGGTTACGGAGGGGGAGAGCAGTTTGGACGAGGAGGTTGTGGGGGATGCGGGGGGGTGGAGGGATAGTAGGAGGGGGAATCGCGTGGGGTGGTGTACGAGGAGTCCGGGGGAGGGCAAATTTGCGAGGGTGCTTTTGCATAGGGTTTTGGGGGATGGGGAACAGTGGTAGCGTGGGAGTGGGAGTGGGAGTGTGTGGGGTTAGGTAGATGAATGACGTAGAGCTGCAAATACAGGAGCTGGGTGAGGAATGCGTATAACACGCCGCGCCACATGTTCCGGCTTCGCACTCAGACTAGACTTGGCCCCCATCATTTTGCTTCTTCCTCCAGGATCGATATCCCCAGCAGAGTCAGAGACAAGAAGCATGTGTGCAAGCATCTCCAGCCCATACATCCACAAATTTGAACCCAGCAAAGCTTGCTACCCATCCGTCAACCTACCCGCCATCACCCATCCAACCACCCGTACCCTCCTTACACAACGCCTCACCAGGCTAGATAGACAGCGAAAACACCGACAGGTGTACTACATATGTCGCAGCTGGGATGACCCGGTACTATGGATATTCTCCGAAGGGAAGAGGGGGGCTTGTGTAAGCTCTTGTGTTATGGTGATACGAAAACGGCGGTCATTCCGACTGGTTCGCTTGGAGGGGTTTGTGTCAGATATTCTGGGGAGAGGAGGAAGTGGGAGAACACGAAGCGGTTGGGCTGTTTTTTTGGGGGGGTGGTACGGGGGTGGTTGGGCAATTAGTACAGGCTTGGTCCCTGGTGTTGGGTTTGGTGGTATGAGGGATTTTGGGGAGGGAGAGATTGGGTTAGTAGTTGTTTGGAGGAGATGCGGTAGTGAACTGGGTGGAGAAGAACAAATCTTTCCCTGCTCGTCCTCCAACCACCCATACATCTCCCTCAACTCATCAACCCCCATGAGACCCAGTCTAGATACCACGCCATGTCCCCTCCTCATCTGCGCCCCCTCCACTTCATCTCCCTACTCATGTCGTGCACCCATGCAGTCCGGCTCCACCTACTCCATCAAGCTGCTTGCCGGCAATCATAAGGGGAAGCGAATTTCCGCCACCGGCACTTTCTCCGCTTCGTGCCATGTCGTACGGGAGACGTTGTCGCGTTGCGTCATCTGCGTTGTGCGAAAAGGGAAGAGAGGACAGAGACCAGAGAGCTAGCTGGGGCTGAAGGGTTTGGGGGCGGTAAGGCAGGCAAAGTGGGAATCGGGAACTGGGGTCTACATGATGTGAAGATGGAACTATACAGGTTTGCAGAATCCATGGGTTTGGGAACGGAAGTTTGGTTGAACATGGAGGCGATGCAGACTTCTAGGTTGTCAATTAATAGTAGGTGTTCGATCTTTTCTGTTTGAACAGGGTGGGGACGGTGTGTACTGTTTGGCTAGGCTACATGTCCGGGTGAGCGGGATTGGGAATGGGAGGAAGGAGGGCGGGTTCACCGCTGGTCTAGTGTTACACAGAGAGCCGAGAGATCGTGATCAACCCACCGCACCCCATATAAGAAGAAATTCGAAGAGGTCTGCAGCATACATCAAGGTGAAAATACGCAAAGTAGGCAACCTGACGTCAAAGTAGACTCCACGGTGTTTGGTTGTCGTTTCTTGGACGTGATAACTGCAGAGATCCAATCAGACCCAAGAGGCTACAATAATCACTCGATTTGCGTATATTTGAGAGAGATGATGCCATTGTAGTCTCCTCACATGTGAAATACAGCTCCAAATACCGCAATGCAACCGTCTTCACATATTTCCATAAAGGTTGAAAGTCCAGAGGACGAAGATAGATTAAAGCCAGACCTCTGTATACTAGGTCTGACATGATCGAAGAGAAGGAAACAGGATACGATCGAGGGTATATCTTGTGTGAATGCCTGCCGCAAAGGAAAGAGAGATACATGCTTAAGGTGCCACCAGCTCCGTACGCGGTAGATGCAACTGCGAGGAAGGGAGAATCATGAAAACGTGCATTTGGGGGATGAGAAAGGTTTGTTCTGGCCCCTGGGAATATAATTCATAAACGAACGCAAATGCCAGCAAATGGCAAAAGAGGGATGAAACGCCACCGCTGAGATGATGCAAAAGATGAACGCGGACTTTCCAATTCTTACTAATGTGGCCCGAAGGCTACGGCAACTTTATTTGATTCTCAGGTTGCTCCTATGCCCGCATGTCGTCATTGAGGGAAGCCACCCTGTTGTTGTTGGTGACTTGAAGGCATTCGCGAGGCAGTCCACGAGAACATGGCCATGTCGCAGATACGCGCAAGAACCTGCTGGCTGGATGCACGGCTCTCATGACTGATGAACGACATAGCGACACAAAGCTTATTCAAGTCGCTGTCTGGACTTTGGTCGACCTGGGGTGGCAGAGCGTTGGGGAAACCACCAATGCGGCTACCGTAATGACGAGCGATCGCAATCGAGTAGATGGCATCGCGCACCTCGTGCATGCACAGGACGCCACGTAGTACTGAGAGGGCGCCGTCGGCTGCTCCAGGCGGGGCAGTGTCTGAGCCCGAGAATTGGACAAAGTCTCCGAGATGTTGCCAGAAGTCGACTTGCGACCTCTTGATATCATCAAGCGTAGGGGGATATGCCAATTGACGTGTGGGGTTTGAGTCCAGGTTTTGATTCGTCATAAGAGCTTCCAGCACGTCGAGGCGCGCACGGGTTTCTCTCATCGCGAAGTCTTCGCCTTCTGGCTGTGCTCCGTTGGTGCCTGGAAGATTCTGCTTGCACGTACTCAGCAAGTGCCATAACAAGCGAGCCTCTTGACTAAAGACGCCGGTCATGTCGGTATCGGCGGTAGCCTTGTACTTGATGGTCTCGGTGAAGAAAGCGGCCTCTTCATGTAGGGAGCGGTCGTTAAAGACTCTGTTGAGAGCGTTGTTGTTCGTCGAGAACCAGTTGGTCTCAAGTACGAGGTCGAGCCCTTGGCAGTAATCGTTAATAAAGATGCGGGAGAACTCGTCGTCGATTTCACGGGGCACTGGCGAGGTCCGCTGAGGAACCTCGGGCGGGCTGTGGTTGCAGATGCCAAAGATGTCTTGGATACCCAACCGCTTGCCTGAATCTGCGTTAGGACTGTGATGGCGATATGGAGCAGGATACCAACCTTTCATGGGCTCTGGCGGAGGCGGGTGGTAGTTGGCGCCTGGAGGCCCTCTCATGTTGGGATCCATGGGGTGCACGCCGTTGTAATGTTGGGGTGGCTGTAGATTGGGATCGGCTTGCGCGAGTGCAGGGTCTATGGCGTGGAAGTTGCCTTGCTGGTGTTCGCCACTCGTAGCAGGAGCGGCAGTCGCGTACCCCGCGGACGAGGCAGGCGCGTACCCTTGGGGTACCGGACTTTGGCTGTAGTTGGAGGAGGAAGGTGCGGGCGCCGGTGCGCTTGTCGCGTGGGGTGCGGGCGCGGAGTTGGGAGCAGGTTGTATTTGGGCGGGACCAGATTGCTGCTTGAAAATCGGGTCGTAGCCCAAGCACTCTCGTTTGCTCTTCTGGCAGTTCCGGCACATGGGGTGGGCTTCGTCGCACTGTCGGGGTGGTGGTTAGCGCATGAGCAGGTGAGTAGTGATGTTGGTGCGCGATGCAGAAAATTTGCCAGAAATCGGCGCAGCTGTATTTGCAGCCCGCAACGGCGATGTTGCGAGGCAAAGTGCTGCAGCCCACTGAATAGCAGTGTTGCTGCACAGCCGGTCGCTTCTGACACGCGAGAGGTTGGATTAGAGGAGTTTGGGTTCCTCGCTCGGTTAAGCAAGCGACAAGCAATAGCTCCTCTGACATCGCGTCGCGTCTGCACCGCGTTCCATTGACGTATGCACTCACCTTTATTCTCCGTTTGCGACATGTCAGACAGCCAGTCTTGGTGCGACGCTTGATCTCCTTCTTGTGGCGACCACCAGACAGCACTCTCTGGTCGCCCTGCGGCGGCAGCTGGTATCGCATGGCATTGAATTGCGGGCCCATGTTGCCCATCATGGGCGGGCCTTGCTGCGCATGCGCTGGGTGAGGATAGTACTGCGGCATACCGTGCTGCGGCGGCGGGAGCGGAGAGCCCATGGGCTGGGGCGGCTGCTGAGGTTGCGCCTGGGGCTGCTGGCCGTCCTGCAGACGTATTGGCGGCAGATTGAGGGGCGGCAGCGACATGTTGGAGCCCTGGGGAGAGCTGCGGTAGCCATCGTTGCTCTGCTGGCCCTGGGGCGGCGGGTAGGTATACGTGGGCTGCATCGAGGGCGACGGGTACGAGTGCGGTGAGGGATAGGCGACGGCCTGCTGCTGGCGCGACTGCATGTTAGGATCGGCCATGCTCTGGTGGGAAAAGTGCGAAGGGGCCGGCGAGTAGGGCGCCTGGGAGATGTGGGTGGAAAAGTCGTGCGACATGGGCTAGCAATGGAGTCTGCCACCGGGGCGCTCTTCAGTTCTTGGGGATGTCTTGAAGAGCACGGCGGCGCTAGAAAGCTTGAGGCGGATGGGAAGAGGGACGGCAAGCCTGGCAAGGAACTGGGATTAGCTGAGTTGGCGAAGGCGTTATGACCCGCGGAACAGGGGCCTGGCCTCGCTCGGTTCGACGCCGCCGCGCTGCACGTAGTTGTGCGTGCACTACATAGATTGGGATAACAAATACGTGAACGACGCAAAGACTAACAAAGTCCAGGGAATGAAAGTGAGAAGGGCTAAACTATGATAGATGATAGATGGGAAGGATGAGGGAGATGAAGACCTGGCATGCCAGCTGCCGCTCCCTGAAATGCATCGCGCGCGATATCCCTCACTCATCTCGTCCGTCTAGGAGGCAGCGAGTGGACTCAGTGGAGGGTGGGCTGCAGCTGGCTAGCCGCCTTTAGCAGGTAATGAGGGCGCATGTGGCAGTGCCATGAAGGAATCAACCGACTTTACTTACAAGCTGCCTACAAGCGAGTCTCGCTTGAGCGGAAGGTAGCGAACAGGGTACTGCTGTCCGACGGGCTAGCGACGCGCGACGATGAGCTGGCCGAGGAGAGCGGCGGCAGAGGAGCAATTCTAGCGACGAGAGGGCGGCAGGCCAATGCAGCCAGAGCAATCGGGCATTTCTTCAGCAAAAGGCTAAAGGCGCAGACCGCTCCCCAGCGCAAAAAGAACTTCAGCATGCCAGGGCCGCTAGCCTGCATCGGGCCAATCACGTGCCGCTCTGCGCTGCGCACTGGGGCCCGCCACACTGTTCTTCCTGCAATCAGCGTCGTCCCGTCCGCTGCTGCACCTCTCTATTGCCCATTACCCAAGTACCTTACTGAGCCGAGCCTCGTGCGGCGTGCAGCGACATTCTGACCCGCTTAGACACACCATGCAGCCGCCCATACCACCCACACTGCACCGTTTGCGTTGCTCAACCCTCATCCGACGGACTGGCAGAATTTGATTAAGGCTGATTGCGCAGTACCTGGGTCCCGGTCCAGCCGGCGCGAGCGGCATCTCTTCGAGAACACCTCCCTCTTGCACCCTCTGCACCCTCACTGCTCGCTTAGCTATCGGTGGCTTGCTCCTGCATCGTCACGACGAACCATTCTGTGCCTGTTTGCACATCTCTGATGCCGCGTATTCTTAGCCTGCCCTTATTTCACTGCCCATTTCACTGCGCAATCCTTTGCTCCCACTGCGGGTGACGTAGGTAGCTCCCGATGTGACAATCGTGCAATGGTGCGCTGTCCAACGATCAAGCACACGAGCATTCGATCTCCAGACTGCGTCTTACGGGCCGGTTTCCCTTCCAGGGTGGCCAGCGGCGCGCCTCGTCCTATCTAAAGCGCTCGCTGACATCAACTTCCGCCTGTCCAATTCAATCTCCCTGCCTATTTACCCGCAATGGGCATATCGCAAGGGCGGCTTCCATTGCCAGCCACAACGCCGTATCTGAAGACATCTGGCGGAATCCTCCATGGGTTATCTGCGGGTAAATAAACGCATATCGGGTTAAGCCATTGCCTGCTAGAGCTGAGTGTGACCAACCTGTAGGAGGTGCATCACCGGCAAGACTTGTCCTTCCGTCTGGGTAGCACTAGGAGGCCGCCAACACGTGTCGAGATATCTACTGGACACCTCACCATTGTCGCCGAACAACCTTCGCGCCAAACAAGCTGGTTGGACTTTGCGATGCGACATGCGATGCGACAGGCGATACTGCATTGCGAATCCCTTGTCCAATGTTGCACAAGCAAAGACCCTGGTCCTAGGGCTGACAAGGTGCATCTAACAGGCCGCTACCAGTGCGCGCGCAGGGAAGTCTGCACTCGGTGCGACCACGAACACAGCGCCAGAGAAGCCTGTGGAACACTGCTAATTGTCGTTCGTTCGCAAAGTGTCTCTCGCGGGCGCCCGCTGAGACATGGTAAGATCTCGTCTATCGCAGTGCACAGAAAAGCCAGGTCAGGGATACCCCCGCAAACGAAAGCATCGAACGCTTCTCGAACAAAGTTGAACGCCAGCCGAGCGAGCTTTGCGCATCATCCTTCCGCCCCGCTCTCGCCTACAGACCGCCTGAAGCGACAGGTGTCTTGATCATCGCTGCAATACGAGATGCATCGGGCTTTGCAAGGGATGGATTTCTCCCTTGTTCATTTGAATCTCGCACAATAACTTTTTGTCTTGTTATGCCTGATCTCGCAACAATGGCTGCGTCGTGCGGTGGCCACTTCTTACCCAAAGCTGCAGACCCTGAATAAGTTCACGCCATTGAGTTCACACTAATTATTGCTGTCGCGAACCGACTCGGCTTTACCCTGGAGTATCCCAGAATCTTGAGTAGGGATAGTCAGCAGCACAGACATCGGCCAAGCGATATCCACGGTGTAGGAATCGGCGCGTTGCTCGTTCATTCCATAATCATGGTCGCGCACTCTGACCACCTCGACACCAACTTCAAGCTGTGTGAACCTGAGTCATCTCGAACACAGAAATTTCCGTAGCTCAAGGACGCTGGAAATTTCCGATACTTCTGCGGTTCATGAATATCATTCTGATCTGCCAGTACTACACGTTCACTAGAACCAGGCAACAGCTTTTCTGAGTGCGTTAGAGCCACATTGTAAGTATGGCGATTCCACACGCGGCGACGATATGATGGGCAACCACAGTTTGAACATGCAATGGAAAACCATGGTTCGTGGTTCATCCAAAGAGTCATGAAATTAAGGGTCGTCGTGCATGCGAGGGCGTTGAGAGGCAGGGCTTAGCGTATGGAAAGGGCTGATGCTATCATCGCAAGACTTAGGAACCAAGGTAGGTGAACACAAACTACTGTGTCTACTTCGACTCGTAGGCATCTCGCAAGTTCTGACTGGCACGTATCTCTCCAATATGAAATTGTTGATTCGCCCTTTTCTTTGTGGTACTTTGGTTGTCGTGGCCTCCACCTTCAGGCTGCCATTTCGGTACCGTGGGACGCACCTCAGCAGAATTGTACAAAATAAGGGGACAGACACCCTCTATCTTCTACTTTCTCATATCGTCGCTCGGTCTTCATCTTGTGCACATTGACTACCGAACTACCACTTTGTCCAACCGGCACTTCACAATACCTCTTTCGGCTCGTCTAACCCCAGCACGAACCAATTTCCAACATGTCCACAACACTAGACCAACAAAAACAGGCCGCATACACCCTCCTCTCTGGTATGCTCACAAGCGTCCTACAAAAAGAGTGGAAAATAACAGACCGCTATTCGGCACAGTCGTCCGCCCTCCTCGACATACTACTCCTCCCCAAGCCAGCCCCAGCCCCAACCCCAGCTCCCATCGCCCCCATCAAGATCCAGAAACAAAGCATCTTCCGCCTAGGCAACAGGACATTCGACCTCGGCCCCGAACACGACTCCTCCGCCAGTTCCTCCGACGATGATGGTGACGCTCCGATCCGGAATGCGCGTCAGCTTAAGAGCGAGATGCGTAGGGTTAATGCGATTCAGAGGAGGGCGGGAAGGAGGGCGGAGAGGGGGAGGAGGAGGATTGAGAGGCATCTTGGGAAGATGGAGGGGGTACTGGAGTTTGAGACGGAGACGAAGATTTTGGAGACTACGAAGAGGGGGGCGGAAGCCCCAGGGAGGTTGTTGAGGGAGCTGGAGGACTACAATAGTCCTGCGAGGGGGAGTCTGCTTAGCGATAAGTCCATGTCGCCTCGAAGTGCTGAGTTCAGTTCGACGGCTAGTGAGGGCAACCAGGAGGTTGCCGACTACGACGGTATCAACAGCCCAATGTCGGAACCCGTACTAGCACCCAGGCGACTACAGCGCTCGGGGCCGCACATCAAGTATGTCAAGCCGGCATCTAGCCAGCGACGCGGCCTTGCTCAAAAGGATTACCTAGGGCGACCACAGCGCCACTGCAGCGACTGCGACCGTACGTTACTGGCCTCCCACTGGACATGCCACGTCAAAGGCCGAATGCATCAAGACAATGCAGCTCGGGACAAGCAATCCCCTCCTGTGCAGGGCACCAAGACTAGACAAGAGTATATGCGCGGCTTGAAGCAGTATTGCGTGTACTGTGACCGTCAGGTCCATTCGAGGGGCTGGGGCGGCCATTTGAAGGCGCGAGCGCATTGGGAGAATGTGGCGAAGGCCAAAGCGGATGAGGAGGACATCCACCTTCATGCCCCGACACCAGAGTCTGTGGTCACGTCCGTGGAAGGGGAAGAGCAGAAAGAAGAAGAGGAGGAGGAGTATGAGGATGACGGCTTCGGCGAAGAAGGATACGAATATGGTCACTATTGCGATGACTGCGAGGTCACGTTCGCTGGTGCGAACTGGGCGCGGCACTTGACTTCGGCAGGCCACGTGTTTAACGTCATTAAAAACTCTCCGGGGGATGAGGATATGACGTCCGATGACGATGAGGAGGAGGAGGAAGAGGAGGAGAGCATGGCAGACTATGATTCTGCCACTGATGGGGAGAGCATCGTGTATGATGATGCCACGGATGAGGATTCTGCGTCACCATCGCCCTCGCCATCATCTTCATCCTCACCTTCGCCCTCCTCCGCCATTTTCAATGAGGGAATCACATTCCCGCACGACGGCACACCGGTTGCGGAACTCGCATCGACCCCTTCCCTCACATCTTCGCCCAACTCCCCCGCTTCCCTCGCTTCCTCGCCTCCTTCCACTCCCGCTAGTGCTGAGTTCACTTCGGGAGTGAACTTCTACTGCGAGACCTGCAGGGTCACCATCTTGTCTGCAGACCCTTGGGAGATCGATGAGCATGTGGCTGATCACGCATATGCAGCTTGCGAGAAGGAAGAGGTGGTGGGGATGGATTGGTTGAGTCAGCTGAGGGAGGCTGCTGGGTGGGTGAAGGATGTGGAGGTGGAGGTGGAGGGTATGGAGGGGGTAGAGGAAGTGGAGCAGGGTGGCATGGAATGCGAATACAATGGGTGGGCATGGAGAACGGGATTGGATGGTAAGCTGCTTGGGAGTATACGGCGTAGTCCGTCTTGTTAGAGATCGAGCGTGGATTGATATGTATCCACCAGGATACCTTATAAATATGTGTAACTAGCGGAGGAGCGTCGGTGTAGTCTACTAAGATATTTTCAGCATGGTATTTACACAGTTTAATGAGCATAACCATATTGAATTTCCAGCTATCTGAATATCCCTGCAACGTCCCAACGTATAGGTATCGAGAGTTATCCCACAGTGAAACGCCGCCCAATGCACTCGCACTCACTGCAATGCCACGAAAACGCCATATATGCTGACCAGATACCATATCACCCCCACAACCATAACAACGGAGACGACCAGCTAAGTATCCGTCTTGGGCTTCTTGTTCGGCAGCGCCGGCACCTTGAAACCGCCAGCATCCACCTTCGAGCTACCGTTGAGCTGCGTGAATGAACCACCCTTGAACCACCTATCCTCGTCTGCCTTTCTCTTACGGTTGGCTTCCTCACGCGCCTTGGGATCGACCAACTCGAGGCCTTGCACAGGTGTGAACGCGATGGAGTTCGTTCCCGCACCACCAAGGCCCACACCACCGGTTCGTAGACCCTGTGCACGTAGACTGGTCGCCGTACCGCTCCCGCCAAAGCCTTTGAGAGACGAGGCTGCACCAAGAGTGGTATCTGTGCCCCAGCCGGGGTTCTTCTTGCTGAGTTTGGCGCGGGTCTTGGGGTCGATTTGTTGCGCGCGGAGGCGTCCAGTGTCTGTGGCTCCGATCATGCCCATGCCTGCTACGGAGTCGCCATATCCAACTTCCTTCTCTTCTTTGCCGAACGTCATCCGGTTTTGGGCCTTGCGTATCTCGGTCATTGCTGTTGCTTCCTTGGCCTTGCGCGCTCGTCTTCCTCCACGCTTCCGGCTGGGCTTCTCATCGGGTACGGGAAGGGCCCTTCCTCCAGCCTTTTGGTTCGCTGGCATCTCCACCAACTTGTCCAACCGACGCTCACACTCTTTCCTCAGGTCCATACCTATATCGGCAGTGCCGGAGTTGGAATGGGCGTCCACACGCGCGGCGAGAATGACTTTAGCCGCCACAATACGTAGCGCTTGCTTCCTAAGATCCGGCCTTTGATTCTGGATAATGTCGCTGTGGTACAGGTAACCCTCGTGCCTCAGACCCATATTCGAAAGTCCGACGGTAGCTCCTGAGACTTTGGTCGAACCTAGGGGAGCGATGTTGCAAGCGGGAGTCTTAGCTAGGTTCGCGATACCGCCAGAGTATGAGATGAGATGGGCTGCGGTCAAACTACCAATGAGCGCGGTAAGGTTAGGCGCGAACAGCTCAGTTCGGGACTCGACGAAACCCAGAATCTTGGACTTGGCGGCGTGTAGCTCGAGCAGCAGATGGCATGCGTTTGACACTAGGTCCAGCTCGGATTGTTCAAGAAGTCTTCCTTCGACGCGCGTAGCTTCGATCTCGACAATCATGACCTGGGCAGGTTCCATTCCTTCGATTTGCCTCAGCTTGGGACTAATGTCTTTGATGCTCGACAAAGGTCCGCCGCCGATGACCAAACATGCTTTGGCGTAGACGACAGGGTTCTTGATCAGATCCTCCAAATGGGGGAAGAAGGCCGAATAGTGGTCGCGAATGAACTTGTGGACGCTAGCAGTCTCGCCATCGATCTGTGTGGAGAACTCGTTGGCTTCTGTGAGGAGTTGGTATTCCGGAGATTCCTCAAACGACTCGCCCTCGACTATGTCCATCTGGTCCTTAGCCTCTTCGATGCGCTTGAGGACGGGGTCCAGGTTCGTCTTGAGCTGCTGCGCGGATCGAATGTCGGCCGGCCCCTTGTTTTCCTTGTCCTTGTCCTGCTGCTTCTCGCGGTATTGCGCCTCCTCGTCGACCATCTCATCGTCGTCGCCAGAAGCCTCGGCGAAGTCATTCTCCAGATCCTGGACATCCTCATCACCACTGTCTGCGAAGTCCGCCAGAAGCTCTTGCTCGAGAGTCGCCATGGCAGAATGTAGGCTGGGGGTATTCGGGGTATGTGCGGGTGAGCGTCGCTACCAGGCAATAGCAGTTGGGGGTGTGTCGAGGAAGTCGCGACGGCGGCCAGAGGTTACCCTCCTAGTGGATATCGGTTGAGTGCTGAGTTCGGGATCGTTGGTATACTACGTACCTGTTGCCTGGGATGGCCGCCGGTCGAGTTTTGAATGCGCGCGGGTGAGTGTCGTGGGGAGAGAGAAGTTGCGACGGCAGTGACGTGAAAGTGCTAATTGCTTGGCGTGCAGCGGATAAAAGTTGCGCTAAGGCAGTCGCGTTCTCACGTTACAGAATAATCTTGTCGCATCGCAGAACGACGACCTAGATACGACAATTGCTATCGCCAAGCTATTGTACCGTAGTCGTACTGCGTAGGCATCCGCGATCACGTGTTCGGCGGTTCGATCCGGACCAACCTTTGGAGCTCTGTTACTCCGACACGACCCAGGCGCGACAGCCTTCACGTCCGACGTGCGCCTCGCCCTCTCTCACCATCACGCGCATACCGTTACATCCCATATAACGCCCTTGATCATCATATTCGAACGCCAATATGGAGGCCTCACGAGGACCCCCGCGGGTCAAGAACAAGGCCGCGGCGGCTGTCCAGATCTCTGCCGAACAATTGCTGAGGGAAGCCGTCGACCGTCAAGATGAGAAGCTCAAGGCGCCAACACAGCGCTTCGCCGACATCGAGGAGCTGCATGAGTTCCAGGGGAGGAAGAGGAAGGAGTTTGAGGACTATGTGCGGCGGAACCGCATCAACATGAACAACTGGATGCGCTATGCTTCCTGGGAGCTGGAGCAGAAGGAATTCCGACGTGCCCGCTCCATTTTCGAACGAGCTCTCGATGTGGACTCAACCTCCGTCCCGCTATGGCTGCGATACATTGAGAGTGAGATGAAGCATCGTAATGTTCAGCACGCCCGTAACCTTCTCGACCGCGCTGTGACCATTCTTCCGCGAGTCGACAAGCTGTGGTACAAGTATGTCTACATGGAGGAGACGCTAGGCAATATCGACGGTGCCCGCTCGGTCTTCGAACGCTGGATGCAGTGGGAGCCTGAGGAGGCGGCATGGAGCTCATACATCAAGTTGGAGAAGAGACACGGCGAATTTGAGAGATGCCGGGCAATCTTCGAGCGCTTCACCGTCGTTCATCCGGAACCCAAGAACTGGATCAAATGGGCCAAGTTTGAGGAGGAGAATGGCACCAGCGACCTCGTGCGCGATGTCTACGGTACCGCCGTCACAACACTGGGAGACGACTTCATGGATGAGAAACTTTTCATGGCATACGCGAAGTTCGAGGCAAGACTGAAAGAGCTGGAACGTGCCCGAGCCATCTACAAGTTCGCCCTTGATCGTATGCCACGATCGAAATCGGTCAACCTACACAAAGCCTTCACAACCTTCGAGAAGCAGTACGGAGACCGAGACGGTATTGAAGACGTAATCCTGTCGAAACGACGTGTACACTACGAGGAGCAAATCAAAGAGAACCCCAAGAACTACGACAGCTGGATCGATTTCGCCCGACTGGAAGAGACGTCTGGCAACCCCGACCGAGTCCGCGACATATATGAGCGAGCGATCGCCCAGATACCACCCACACAGGAGAAGCGCCACTGGAGACGGTACATATATCTTTGGCTGTTCTATGCAGTCTGGGAGGAGACAGTTTCGCACGACATTGAGCGCACCCGTCAAATATACCAAGAGTGCATACGTTTGCTGCCACACAAGCGCTTCACGTTCGCCAAAGTATGGCTGGCTTTCGCTCATTTCCTTGTGCGACAAGGAGAGCTTACCGCTGCACGTAAGCTGCTCGGTCAAAGTTTGGGCATGTGTCCAAAGGACAAGCTTTTCAAGGGCTACATCGAACTGGAGATGAAGCTCTTCGAGTTCAACCGTTGTCGGCAGCTGTACACCAAGTACATTGAGTGGAATGGCTCAAACTGCCATACATGGATCAACTTCGCCAACCTAGAGCGTGGTCTCGACGACCTTGACCGTGCGCGGAGCATCTTCGAAATCGCCGTAGACACGCAAGAGATGGACATGCCAGAAGTTCTATGGAAAGCATACATCGACTTCGAGGAGGAAGAAGGCGAGTACGGCCGCACACGCGCACTCTACGAGCGCCTCCTCGAAAAGACCGACCACGTCAAAGTCTGGCTCTCCTACGCCCAATTCGAACTCGGCGTCCCCGACGAAACCACCCCCGAAGACGACGAAACAATCAGCGAGCTCGCCAAATCCCGCGCTCGCCAAGTCTTCACCCGCGCGCACACGCGCCTCAAGGAGAAGGACCTCAAAGAAGACCGCGTGGCGCTTCTCTCTGCGTGGAAAGCGTTCGAAGACGTTCATGGAACAGCGGAGGACAAGGACAAGATCGAGAAACAGATGCCCCGCAAGGTCAAGAAGAGGCGTAAGTTGGACGACGACAGCTTCGAGGAGTATGTCGATTATGTTTTCCCGGCCGACGACGAGAGTGCGGCGAAGTTGGCCAAGCTTATGGCGAATGCGCAGAGGTGGAAGATGGCGCAGGCTGCGAAGGCGGCTGCGGAAGAGAATGGGGATGCGGTGGATGGGGGTGGAGAGTAGGTGTTTTTGGGATGTTTGGGAGGTGGGGTGTATGTAGGATAGAGAAGCTAGAGAAAGGTGTTCTATCCCTTCGCCAACACTCGTCGTGTATTCTGCTGCTTACTGAATGTGTATTATGCCACTATCGCTCTATCACCTTCTAAGAGTTGGTAAGGCATCATCTCTATTCTTTCAGATTGGACAGTGGAGAGGATGGCTTTTATCGCTGGCACTATGACCGTGGCATGATGATTCCACTAGATGCACATCCTTTCCCATGTAGACAGGACCAAGAGGTCATTCCAGCGTCTGTGAGTTCATCGTGGATTGCTTCTCAGCCTTCTTCTTGTACGCCTCAACTAAACCTAGTCAGCGAATGGATGTGAAAGTGCCCCAGACTTCTTCACTTACCCATGATCTCCTTCATTTCTTTCCGCAGGTCGGCAAGGAGCTTTTCATAAGCTTGGATCACGGATAACCCCGAAGCTGATGACATGATTGGAGACCAAACGGGGCGGGCGTTTTCGACTGTCTTGAAGAGTGGCCTTGGAGGGAAGACAACGACATAAGCGGTGAATTGATTCTTGTCTCCCGGAGTATCACTACTGACGACGTCGAATTTTGAGCCTCCCGGGTGTTTCGCACCGTGAATGACGTGGATGTGGGCTGTGGAGCAAGTTAGTCATGCGAGAAGGAGTGATACCTATCCAGAAACGTACAGAGTATGGTGGCTCTGAGTGCCTCTTCTTCCTGTGCTTGAGAAGTCATGTTGGATCTTGTCGCTTGGAAATTCGGACCGGGGGTAGATTCACGAAGATAGTGTAGGGACTGAGAAAGCAAGAGGCTAAGAGCAAAGTATTTATTGTAGAGTATTCGCACCAAGACCGTTTGCGGCCTTGCCTCTTCCTTCACTTGACCCGGTCAATTTCGCACTTGCTAAGCTCTAATGACTTGATCGCAAATAGCAAATGAAAGACCGTATGTGTTGAAACCTTGTTCTCGGGATTGACACAGCTTCGGGACAGCCACGAAACCAGACATTCTCTAGATCTTAGAGAAACTTGGTAGCCATAATCCCGAGTCGCTGGTATCGATACCGATCACATTTCATCTGTGGTTTGTCAGTCAATAGTTCCAATGTATTGCTGTCCCATTTCACTAACTCCACTTTTGGCGAAGCAGCTTTCGCAGATGGCCAAGGAGCGCGTCATAGGATGACGACACTGTAGGGCATGGCGCGACGCCTTGGACTTTGGTACACTTGCAGGAGACGACGCTACCTGCCGCATAGGGTTTTGTCTTGGGGTATACGACGAGGCTAGTGACATAGCTGCCACGTTCGTCGATGCAGGAGATGACATCGAATTCGGATCCAGCTGGGTATTCAGGACTGAACATCGCGCGGCCGTGGGCTAGTTGTGTCAGCAGTATTTATATAAGGATAACCACGTTGATACATACAGATGACAGCGGCTTTGAGGGCCTCTTCTTCTTGTGCTCGGGAACTCATGTTTGCTGTTGACTGGAGAGATTCTGGGATGGTTGTAGTAGAGGTGTAGTAGAGAAGTAAGAATTAGAAGATACCAGACGCGATATAAATACTTGTTCTGCCAAGACGTAAAGCTGCGGTCTCACCTTCACCTTGACTTTAGCCCTTCCCGTTTCGAATCTGCCAAGGTCCGATACCGCGTTTGCAAACAAAAAGAGCAGGTGCAAATTTGCCACATTTGCAGCGAGAAGGCTACTTACTTACAAAAAAAGCTAAGAAGGCTACATTGTCTTGACAACTTACAACGTGAAGTTCTTGTGGAGATGTGGACTTTAGGGTGCCAAGTCGTGCATGTAAGTTGTTGACCCGAACGGTGTATCCGTTTTGCTCAGCAACAATCACGCAAAGCTAGGGAAGAGAAACGTTGGCTTGACACATGTAAAACAGCTTGAACCAAGTGAATACATCTACAGAATCGGGTCTCGTTTCTTGGCACACAAAATACTTATTGCCAAATACGTTCCCTGCTGTCTACTTCCTCCATCTTACCCTCACGTCTAAGCAATCGACTACGAAAGCAAAAATGGGAGACTACAGTCATGTCATGCACGAAGAAGCGCTTGCTACGCGCATACTGTGTAAGCCTGAACGTATCAAACATGTCTTTGTCCATGCAGCTAACCTATTCGAAAGCCCAGGCCCGCGCTATCTACGGCCCAAGGTATCCCCATGGCTCTACGGTCAATGTCATCTACAGCAGCGAGAAATACGCAGACCGGGACCTCGTCGCATGGCTCATCGTTTACCCAATGCCAGACAATGCTGCCTTCAAGACTGGAAAAACCGTATCGAACGAGTGGACTCCAATTCTAAAGTCGCGGCGCATAGGCGAAAAGGGAACTTGTTCCACCCTTCAGCGAGGCTACCAAGATCTTCTGGGGAAGCTGCGTAACATGATGGTCGAGACTATGGCTTCCATGGGTAAGTAGAAGAATGCGATGATTTGAGGGAAATGCTCGCTGACAGACGGCAGAGAAGACGGAGGAGGCAGAGAAGTTGAAGAAGGACAACATCAGCACTGATAAGTAATCGGCGCTGAATCAGCGGCTTGCGGCCAAGCTGTCAGTCGACTGATAGAAGGATATATGCATTGAGTCTCTTTGCTGGCAGTCATAGATAGTAAGAAAACGGGTTACCGCACTGGCAGATACGAATTTGGTGGGGTCGAAATGAAGGTGAAGATGAGATGTACCTAGGTATATCAGCGCTTCGGCCCATACAGTTTTCGCAATAGACCCTCTACTCTTGATTGTCTGCTTCTTACTCTGACTCTCTCATACTCCCACGCTAAGACCAAAGCCCTGCGCGACAAAAGCCACGATGTCGTCCAACTTGGATGATAACGGTGAGCATCAATCCGAATAGACACTCAAAGCGACTATACTATGTAAGTCCGTTCGATTCGCAGTCGCAGTACATACATAACATCCCCAATCGCCACCGTTCGCGCAGCCTCTTGCAAGAATACTCCGACCGAATGAGGACACTGGTGTTGGATTGCTGTGCGCTTGTCATTGCTGAATGTGGACTGGTCGAGTACCGGCGAAGAAGGTGGGCCATGGTTCGCAGTACCTTGGTACCCTGAAACCTGAGCGGATAAGAAACTTTTTGCGCAGCAACTCCAAACCCTCTGACTCCTACTCCAACAATAAATTACTACCGACGCAGTCTTGGAGCGAGTTATAGAACGCACGATGTCAGAGACAAAAGCCAAAGCCTGGCCCAGACCGGAATCGGTCATGTGCGAGAAAGAGATGAAGGCAGAGATCCTGTGTGCGTAAATTATACTCTTTGGTCATGTCGTACTTTTTACTGACTTGTGATCAACCCGCAGTACACGCTCATGCTCTATGTGCCGAGCGTTCTCGATCTAGTTCACATTTCGACATCATCCACAGCACGACCGACGAATCTAATGAGCCTTATTACGAAACGCACCTCATCGTCAGTGTCTCGTCGGATTGTTTCCGCGCAGGAGACTGGGAACTCCTCATCTCAGTCGGCAAGAACAAAACTTTCGCGGACGGATTGGATGCTCTCATGCTAGAACTTACACAGCGGTTGGGCACAAAAATCCGTGAGTACGATAGCCACAAATAAAAAGCACGAGAACTGACTAGAGGGTCTTGTAACAGAGGAAAAGAGAACGGAACGCAAGACCGATAATGATAAGAGAATGAAGGAGCTCTATCATGAGGGTTTTGGTTACGGTTCATCCCAATGAAGCGATAGAGTGCGCCTTGATGAGAACCGCTGAGAAATTAAGATGGGGTCATGATATCAAGTGCAAGATAGTTCAAATTAAAGTGAAGGTGAAGGTGAGAGATCTACTCTCCAGCTTGCCTAATACGTATGCTTTGGATAGAATCAAAGTGAAGGTGAAGGTGAGATGTCAACTCTCGTCTCCGCCCACAGAGTATTTAAAACGCAACTTCTACCTTTTGCTTTCTACTCTCATCCTCCCACACTCCACACCCCAGATCCCCAATTACTACTCTACGACAACAAATATGCCCGCTTCCGCTCAAGATAAGTTGGCCGAGACCAAGTGTCAAGAGAAGCTCAAAGCTACCATTCTCAGTTAGTTTCTCACCACTTTTCGGTTGCTGCATATCTAACACATTATATAGCCCACGCAAAGGCCGTCTTTGTCGAAGGTCTCACCAAGGACACCGATCTTGACGTCGTTACCGGCACTGTCAAGGGCTATACCGCAGCTTGGGTTGTCGCCTACGTCAAGAAGGACGATGGTCTGCGTCTGATAACTCTGCTCCAGAGTTTGGGAAATCCAAACGTAGAGGACGCGTATCAGGCGTTGATCATTGGCTTACGCAGCAAAATGAACGATGCCATCGGTGAGTCAAGAAATAAACAACCTGATATGATAATGCAATTTACTAACTACGTTCAGTCAGGTCAGACTTCTCCGAAATGGTGGATGTGAACAACTGGATGACCTAGGGTTGATCTCATTGGCACTATGAATGGACTTCAAGCTGTGGTTCATCAAGGTTCTTGCAGCGAGCACATGACCAGTGCACACTTTCGGTTCAATACCAACATAGCCCGATTACCAGCCTCACTTCAGCTGCCAGATAGTAATGCAACCATCGACGAAATACTGCCATTTCGTGATTCGTTCCAAACTCTGAGCACCGAAGGTCCGTTTGACGAGTGCTTGCTATCCCAGCTGCGGGCTAGTCACGTAGCCTAGGCCACAAGCGAGGAGGTGAAAGTGAGTTGCACTTTCCGCACCTAATGAGAAATCTTCACCGCGACAACTACATTCCTTCCACCTCCCACTTTCTAAACCACAAGAACCCCACGTCCCCCCCAAGCTCAGCAGTCATTACCACCATGGCCATGTCCAAGTACGAGACCATCATCTGGGAGAAAGAGATGAAGGACGAGATCAAGTGTGAGTACAACTGGACTACTACTGATCATCTGATCACTGACTGAAGACTCCCTGATAGCTCTTGGCCGTGTGATACACGGGGACAGCCTCGAGAGTGACTGCGTCTTCGTAGTTATTTCCTACAAGCAAAGAATCTTCGCGCCTGGACCTGCTAAATACAGGTCTGCCCTCATCGTGTACGACGGACCGGACGACAACTACTGGAGAGTTCTGATGTGCGCGGATTCATCAGAATCTTCTGTCGGTGCGAGCTTAGAGGCACTTCTGGGCGAGTTGCGTGAGCTGATGGAATCGCATATGAGTGAGTCTCACAATACGCTCGCTGAACAAGTTTTCTGTACTTTAATGCTGACTTGAGATAACTTTAGTCGGCAAGAGAGGTGTATGAGTATCTGCACTTGAAGCGATTCACATTCTCGGCGGACTCATTGCGGCTGACAGATGTAAAAACGGGTGTTAGCGAGTCAGAAGGGCGTAGCCGGGAGCATGCAACGGGAGGCTTCCACTACATACATGGACGAAGATAGTCTCTAAGGTTTGCTTGCGCTCCTAGATAGCAATGCAACTCATCAATCAACACATGCCATCGCGTAGACTACTTCAATTCCTACACTCCTACTCTTAACATCCTGAGCCACATGTCAGCGTCCGCCTGGAAAAAGACTGAAAATTTGCTCAGCGATTGTTTGCTGTCTCCGTTTTGGGCTAGCTCATAACAAGAGCGGTAGGTGAGGGTGAGTCGCGCTTTCTTGTTGATCAGAAACTTTTCGCACGACAGCGAGCTCCAACGCTTCTACTTCCCACCTACTTCTACAACACCCCATACTCTACGTCTAGTTGCCGGACCAAGGTACCGCCGCAAGCAACATGGCCATGTCCAAGTACGAGAGTATCATCTGGGAGGAAAAGATGAACGAAAAAATCTGCAGTACGCCCTCTGTTTCTACTCGTTTATGTATCTCAAAGCTAACTCAATCAGATCACGCCCATATCCTGTACGCTCAGGAATTGACCCCGAACTCCATCCTCTACAGCCTCAACTCCACTTCCAAGCTGGCCCGGTTGCGCATTCGTAGTCTACACTACCCACGTTGTCACCATGAACGCGCCGATAAGCAATGCGTGGAGAGTACTTTTTTCGAGTCAGGATTGCATGTCTCTTGGAGAAAGCCTGGAGGAGACACTACAGACTCTGCAAGAACGTCTGCGACCTCGCTTGCGTAAGTCCTCATGCACATACTTCTAAAGAGTTCTATTATACTTTGCTAACGCTATGTATTTACAGAGCCTGATGTACAGCCGGCGGCCAAGGAGTATAACAACTTGGCTGGGCGTTCTATCAAGCAGGAACGTGTTGACGGTTCAACGGACGGAACTGACGAACAACGCCTAGAGTCAGAGCGTCCAGAAAGTGAATACGAACATAATACGAGAGTTTATAAAGCCGAGAAAGAATCAGCTAGGAAGCGGATGCGATACTAGGCCACGCGTCACTTCGTCTCGTGTATGAGCATTTCATGATGGACTAGGTCTCTTCCGGGTTATGTCCTACGCTGAACAACGCTGCTGGAAGGAACATGGAAGGCAACCGCGATTCAACAGATCGAGTGTACTGCGCCTACATTCCCAGTGCTTCCCTGGGAATTAGCCATCAACACTGCTTGAAATACTACATACCTGTCATGCACATCAAATAAGAACAGCGTGCCATTACATCCCTCTTCAACCCCCCACACACTACAGCAAATCATCCTCATCGACCTTCTCCCCCCTCCTCCCCGCAAGCCAAACCCTCCCACTCTCATACGCCCCCAAATACAACCCCGCCCCAATAAACGTCCAAACACCCCTCAACGCACCACCCCTCCACAGCCCCTTAAACCCCTTCTCCTCTACAATCTCCTTGCCCACCGCCCAACTACTCTTCCTGCCTTTTGACTGCGACGGCGAAGACTTCATCGGATTAAGAGAATCCGCCGCGTCCTTCGCCGCATTCTTGACCGTGTCTTTCGTCCCCGCCGCCTCCTTCCCCAGCGCATCTACCAAACCCTTCCCTCCCCCATTACCCCCATTACCACCCCCCTTTCCACCACCACCACCACTCCCCGCCCCCGGCCCCTCCGCAGCAGCAAGCATAACCCTCGTCTTAACAACATCCACCGGCGTCGTCAGCACCGCACTAACCGCCCCCGCACTCCCCGCGCTCAGCGCCGTAATCCAGCCCATTTCAAATATCCCGCCCTTCGTCAGTCCTTTCTCATCCCTATACCTCTTAATCCCTTCTTTGAGCCGCTCAAACATAGGGAACTGCATCGCGGTAAAAGGGAGGTTGCGGCCTGCGAGGGCGGTGTAGCCGCGCCAGAGGGCGAGGGGGTTGGATTGGAATTTCCGGAGGGTCTGTAACGTAGCATTCTGCGATTGAGAAGTCGAGGAGACCATCTGCGCGTTTTGTTTTATAACTTCTGCGGGGGTGAGGATGGCGCATGAAACTAGTTCTGCCAAGGAAGAGGCAGAGGCGTGGACGAAGGCTATGGGGAGGATGGCTTCGTTTCTGGTATTGGTGTTTAGGCGGGTGAAGAGGGATTTTGTGTGTTCGTAGGTTGTGAAGAACGCTCCTGCTGATGGGGTGGTTAGCATGTATACTTTCCCCCTAATATCCAACTCTCCTCTTATTTCGCAGACACCTTCTTCCTGTCCAAACGACATCTTATCATCCACCTCTTCACCCATCAAACCTCTCCCTAGCATCTATATCATCCCCATCTCTTTCCATCTTTCCACCATCCCAACAAGCTCTCTCACTCATCCCACGCATCTCTGCTCTTTTCCTCTTCTCCTCTAAAACCACGTTCAGAAATCTCTACTTACAGCTCGGCAACGTAGCAATAATCACACTCCCAATCCCCTGATACACACCACGGAACAACTTCGGATCCACTTTCCCCGTCCGCGTATCCGTGTAGAGTTTAGCATATTCCGGGCTTTGGATGCGCGTTTTTATCGTGTCGAGTGGGTAGACGAGGAGGTCAACTGTGAAGGCTGCTATTGCGCCGGCCTTTTGTTGTGGTGATGTTAGTTCGGGATCTCTTGAACAGGTTCTTCGTTGTTTGGAGGTTGGGTGGGTGGTGTGTTTGTTCGGTTCCATCTCTTTCTCGTTCTCAATTAATTGGCATGGAGAAGACGCCATGTCGGTCGCATACACGCCAGCTGCCAAAAGCCCGCGTCGTCTAAGCCATTCAAAATCAACAACACCAGAGATTGAAACTCACAATCAAAATATCAGAACTAGTATTTCCCGCCATTGCAAAGAGAAAAAGAACACGTCAAGCTGCAGATATATGAAGATGAGATGTTTTTCGCCAGGATTATTCTGAGCCTCGTAATCGATCTTCAGGTACATACAGGGTCCGATAAAACCACATGCATTACGTCACCGATGATCCGCCGACACGGATTCGCAGCTAACGGCATACACGGCTTCACGTGCCCGAAAACAACGAGAAGAATTCATGGTCATGAATAGTTGATGTATATAATGTGTCTAGATTATTTTGTGTACTATTTTCTTTATCTAATCTCACAATTTCCATCCCCGTCATGCCGTACGTGCACCTGCTGCGGCACTCCCTCCGCTAGCAGCAACCCACGATATCAAAGAAGAAGAAGGGGTATATAAACCTAATCCCACCCAGGATCTCGTCCGTCATACATGATCCCAACCCCCCATTCCCTAAACGCCCGAAAAACACTTTTCATAAAGACATATCCATCCCATCATAGATCGAACCTGCGATCATTTCCATTTCCATTTCCATCATAAAAACGCAAAGAAAAAAGAAGGGAATACTACCACCACAAACACTAGAGCTTCGTATCCTGCCTATTAGAGTCGCTCAGCCTGCGGAAGGGCCCTTGCATCGTGGCACTAGGACCCGGCCTAGCACTACCCGCACGTGTAGCGTTACTCCCGGCGCTCGCACTTGCGCCTGCGCCTGCGGTACCTGGTGTTCTGGAAGTGGCGGTAGCGTTGGAGCGCTGTTGGAGTGTCGCACTGACTACCCATTGCAGATGCATGCGCATGTTGCTGATTGCGGCGTTGACGTGCAGCATTTCGTCTTTGGAGCGTTGGCTCTCGTTGATGATCATCATGTTGGTGCGGCCGTCGAGGTCGGTGAGCGCGTTGGAGATACGGGATACTTCTTCGCGGAGGGAGTCGTGCAGCGTGAGGAGGTGGTGGACTTGGGAGTCGAAAGGAGGTTGGGCGGAGTTGTTGCTGTCGTTTCCGCCTGGTGGGACGGGTGGAAATGAAGCGGGTGGGAGGCGGAAGTCTGGCGTGGGTGCTTGGGGGTCGGTGTCGTTGGGGTCCAGGGGATCGGTAACAGGGAAGGAGGCGTCGTTTCCGTTGGCTGGATACAGGTAGTTTGTGATGTTGGTGAGACCGTCTTCGAGGATGCCGACTTTCCTAGTCAGGGGCTCCATTCGCGCCTCGTTTCTTTCGATGCGGGCTTGCTGTTCGCGGAAGTGGGGCGCCATGGTTGCCATTGCGCAGGTTGGTTCGTGGAGTACGACGTCGGCACGCTCGGCTTGGAACTTGCATCCGACGATGGTGCCCTGGCATGATATGACATGTTTGGGGCAGTCGTTGTTGATGTGAGGCTTAAGGTCTAGCCGCAGTATCTCAGCCGAACAGAGCGTGCAGGTTGTCAAGCGATTCGCACAGAGGCTCCGCTGGTGCTCCTCGAGGTCCTTTTTGAGGAGCGAAGCGTGGCAGTCCTCGCAGCTGACGGTGTAATGCAAGCAGCCCTTGTGGAAGTCCTTCTGTGATATCTGCAAGCGACAGTCTGCAGCGGAGCATTCGACGGGCGTATATTCGCAGTACAGCATGACGTGGTCGTTGACGTTGACACGCTGGGCGACCCAGTTGCAGCCTGCCTTGGTGTTTGGGCACTTGACCACCAGCTCATCCAGCATCGTCTCGATAATCTTAGGCACCGGGCGAACGTCACTGTCGCTCTCGACAGCATGCCGGCACGTGGGACAGGTCCTCTTATGCTGTGGCGCCCATGCGTGATCGAGACACTCGCGGCAGAAGTAGTGGTCGCAGGAGAGCTGGACGGGCTTGTCGAAGGGGGCGTGGCAGATGAGGCAGGTGAGGTTGCTGTCGGGCGTGGAGACGTATTCGAGGTTGGCGAACTCGGGGGGTACTTTGACGATTCGGCTGTGACGGCGCTTTGTTGAGGGTGAGTTTGAGACGCGGACGGCCAAGGGTGAGGGGCTGCTGGGAGGGCCGCCGACGGGCATTCCACCATGCTGCTCTTCGGCCCAGCCAGTCCAGTTGGCGTTGCTGGACGAGCGCG